ACATCGGAAAACGAAAAAAGCCGCGAACCAAGAGAGAAGAGCAACGTAAACCAATCAACTAACGTATCCGCGAAGAGGATCGGACTCCCGGAAGCTAAGACCCGATCGACGTTCAGTCGCGAGGGTGAGAAATCATCGAAGACGTAGGGCGGACGCGATTACGGCGAGCGAAGGGCAAAAACGAAAGAAGAGAATTAAGGGCGGTAGACGTGAATCACTGCACACTGAGCACATGCCGCAGGGTGGTACCGGAAGCACACCTATATACCGTTGACAATATAAGCAAGAGACGCGCCTTATCGAACTGACCTGCGCCCATCCTTCGCGGCTGATCAAAAGTCGAGCATCCCCAGACGGACAACCGGGCTGGTGGCCGTTCCGACACGACGCCGAGGGAATCGCGCGAAGTCCCGAAGCGTTCTCCGTGACGGGGTGGCTTCGAGCCTCGGCGTACCTACTCATCTCGCCGGGAAGGGCGTACCCGCGACCGCGTTCATGTTGCCGGCCCGGCGGCTGTCAGTGTATGGCACGACGCGTCTGTCTCTCTACCACCGGTCTACGCATGTATAGGACCGTTGCCCGACTGGCTGTCGGAATTACCCGTTTCTCCTGACCGTGGCCATACCACGCGGAATCACGGGTCGTTCTTCACCCGAGCCCGACGTGCCGCCTAACCCCCGGGGTTGGGCGCAACGCCGGGGTTGTGGGCGACGCCTCGCACACCTACGGAACTTTCTAAACGGCCGCGACTCGGCGTACCCCCTGACTTCGCTGGCGGATAGCGATGGCGGCGAACACCTCTTGTTCAACCGCGATGGCGATTCTCTTTACAAACTGGGGATTGATCTTTGGATGTTTGACTACTTTGGAAGATATTAAAGCTCTGGATTTGAGGGAAATTGTAAGATCAAGAGGTTTTATAGTTTTAGCCTCGAAAGGATTTTTGTAGGTTTGAAATATCTTCAAAGAAATGAATTCCATAGAATTTGATTTGATTACTAGTGAACTGGTTTTACTCCGAGATTATGAAATGTACAGTTTCGCTAGGAAGGAGGTTCTCACCGTTTCATGCATTATGACTGTCTTCTATAAAAATGTTCATCGACACCCTTATTCGACGACCCCTTCGAGCAGCTGGTCCCAGCAGGTATCACAGAAAGCGAAGAAGCTTCGAGATACCTCGACAAACAATTTGAACACGGGGTCTAAGCCATCGCTAGGTGGAGGTTTAGTCAGGCTATCGCGCGGTGTACACCACTTCTTCGGTGCGGCTGGTACGTTGGCCTAGAGGAGGTAGGGTAGATGAAGAGGGGCCAGAGGAAGGTGACAGCGAGATAGGTGGGGAATTCCAACGGGCGACTAGACGGCCCGGGGACTTGCTGGCTGAGTGGCTGACGCGACTATAGTGGGGTAGTGCTAGTTAGCCACGGGAAATGCGGGGGCGGCTCCGAAGGCCACGTTGTCAGACGAGCGTTACCACCGTGTCATTGGTCGACTCCACCCCTGAGACGGCGACGGGGTGCGGATCTATGTAGCGAAGGGTGGTGGGCGTTCCCAGCGCGCTCATTCGACGCTCGGGGAGCGCCTCGAGCGCGGCGACCAACCGCCTGCCCCGAGATCAGACCAACGTCGTAGGTGGCTGTTAGGGGAGCGACGCGATTTGTCGATGGATCGCTACGTCGTCGGCTGTTCTCGGCCGACGGGTGGGGGCGCGCTGGAAATCGACATGATGGGTGCATGCTGCGGTTTCTGTGAGAAAGAAGGGATGGTAAATTGTCAATGCAAAGACACTCGGGCTGAAGCGACCCCCTTTTCGAGCGCTCGAACGCTGCGCTTTGATTCGAAGTAGCTCGACTACGCGGCACGGATATTTTTATTGGTTCTCCGGTAAGTGGCTTTGGATTTGGTTTATAGGTAGGAGAGGTATACCGTTGCTTGAACGTTTGCTTTATCATTATTTGATGAACAGTTATTGATTCGCGTCAACTCGCGGATGTTTTAGTTGGTCTTGTTTGTGGATGGAGTTATATGTTACGTGCAATATGCAGTGAATGAGTGGATATTATAGATTGATGGTTACATGTTAATGGTAACTGTGTTTTAGAAAGTTTGAAGTTTCTGATTGATTCCAGAGGGAATTTTGTAAAGTGATTTCTGTTATGTGGAAATAGGATTCTTTATGATTGGAATGTACACGTTCTTCGATGGTTTTGGTTTATAATTTGATAATCATTGTCGATTCTGTTAGCAAAGTAGATTGGATGGAATGGACTGTTATCATCAGATAACAAAGCCAAATGATGTCTAATTTATTTGGAATGTTAGAATAAAATGTGTACTATGCAGAAAAATGCTTAGTAATGCGTTAATAGTAATAAATTTATTGAAACGCTATGTTACAATAATAAACAAAACATCTTATCGACTTTCCTACTCGAAGTTCACTGTATTATCGATTCACGAGATGATGTCTCAGTCATCCGTTGATAGAGGACGCTGTTGGCAACTTCTACCCTTGAAAATATTTCAGAAAATGTTAATTCAACTTCTCTGAATGAATTATGTTATCATTAACGCAACAACATGGACATAAATCGTAAAATGTAAGGCCATAATTCGTCGGACGAGTGGAGAATACCACGAACGCGTTGACGCAAATACGTTAATTCCTATGAAAATCATTTTTTCCTCGTGCAAATGCACACACAGTCCTGATATTGTCCGAGACTTTGATCTTCCGCGGTTCGTAGAATTAAAGTCTTGTAAAAATGCCATCTTGCGCAATACGCCGATGATGAAAACACGAGTGAAGTCATTGGAAAAAAGTTTATTTCCAGATAGCACATTAAGTCATTATACTTATTTATAGTTTGAAGAATCATATATAAAATTCGATTCTTCAGCAAAGAAGACACTCGATACTCGAGGAACGGATTCGTAGAAGAACCAACAAGCAGCATGAAGCTCCTTAAAATGTTGTTGTGCGCGATTTTAGGCGTTTTGTGTCTCTTCTCTGCATCCATTCATGTGAGTATTATTTTTCGTTTATGATTATTTCACCATGAGTTTCACACGATTAACGTCAGAAATATTACTGATAAAATAATTGAAGAAACTTTGCTGTCTACGTAACTGGACGCCATTGTTTAATTCATTTAATGACGGATATTGTGCTTTGCTCGTTTCAGGGAGAAGTTTTACCTTATCCAGGTGATTGCACGAAATATCAGCATTGCGACAACAGCGGGTGTTTCGTTTTATCGTGCGGAACAGGAACAGAATTCAATCCGAATATCGGGACATGCGATTACCCTTTGCAAAATCGTGGAGACTGTGGGAATCGTTATTAACTTTGCCCGTTTCAATCTGTCTTCGTAATCAAGGATTAGCTAATTAAAAATAATATTATGTTCAATGAAACAGTGCTTGGTGTTACTATTGTGCTTCTTACCGTGCTCATGTAACAGTTTTTTCTTGTAAAGCTCTTGACACATAGTATGTATATACACATCGTTAAGTATTAAATTTGTGTAAATTAAATTAAACGAATAAACGAACGAAATACTCAATTGTGAATTCAGTTGATGATCGATAATTTACGCATACGTGGCGACGAGTGTTATATGCGGTTAGATAATTCTATAACGTACATATCGCTCTAATGCAAGTGAACATTTCATCTATTTCGGAAGTGATAATAAATTGTGTATTATTCAGTAATGCTAATATTCGACAATTTTCTCTCGTACTTTAAGATCTACTTGTAATTTATTTCAAAATGTGTATTTCAACGTGTATATAAGATATACTGGCATGATTAGAAACTTTTAAATATAATTTTGTTTTAAATAAATCTATATGTTACGTAATGAATTGTTATTGAAGAATTACTACAAGCTGCGAATAAATATATATAAAAAAATGAACTTGAAAGTCAAAAAAGGAATTTCCGGTACCGGGAATCGAACCCGAGCCTCCTGGGTGAAAGCCAGGTATCCTAGCCACTAGACCATACCGGAGATTATGAAAGAGTTTCTTTCTTTAAGATATTTTTTCTGTAAAGATAATACCTTCGGAGTTGAATCAATAAATTATATATTATTAAAAATGATTGTATTACAGATAAAATTTATTTTAAACACCTGTTTAGTCAAAGAATTACGCCTTAGAACGTGCAATTTAATTCGACATGTAACTTCTCATAAACTGTATGGTGGTATTTTTTATTTAAAAAATTGAAGCTGACAAATGGTTGGAGTAAAATAAGTAAATAATCGGATATGTTTTTTAAAAAGACTCATAATGGAAATCTTTTTCGAAAAGACAACGAGACTAGAAAATTAGTTGTTCAAAATATGTTAGAAATAGAAATATAGAAATTATATTTGTAGTAAGATATACTAATTCAAAGAAGATTTATTTAATATTCAAAGTTTATACTTAACGTATCCAGATACAGTGTGAATCGATATTTAAATTGAAATAAAATCTGAGATAAGAATTCATTTGTTATATTAGGTAATATAAAATCCAAATAAGCGAAAGAGAGGAAATACAGAAGAGAGATGAAGAGAAGTAATTATTAGTTGTTAATTATGTAAAAAACCACCCCACTCAGTTATCAATGGGGATTGATAGATTATGACCTTTACATTTGCTGTAAACACTGGACGCCCCATCTTCAACAAAAAGCTGAAGTTACTCTTTACAAACTGTATCTTCTGTCGATATTCATTTTAGTTCTGTTACTCTTTGCTTCCATTTACCGGCAGCGTTCGTTCGCAGTTTGAGCAGTCTTCCACGGGTGGCGCCATTAATCAAAGGAAATTATGAATCAAATGAAAATAATTATTTACGTATATTTTATACATGTTCTTCTTATCAAATATACAATTCTTACTATGTCTCTTCAATTTTGATGTGTATTTTAAAGCCGATGTCCCTCTGCTTGTCAAATTAAAGCATTTACATCTTTCGATCGCGTCAAAGTGCTTGGATTATTATTTCCACCATAAATCTTCCGGAATTACATTTAAATATGTCTTAATTAACATTTTAAACGCTACTCGATGAAAGAAAAATGTTTTCGCGATGCCTAAGAAGTTCGAAGAATCATTTAAGTCGTCGTTCTTCCGTGCAAGTTCATTTATGACTTTGCATCAGTAATTGACACGAAGGTAATTTAGCTGTGCCTGGTCCATCACCTTGTCTCAGTAACGTTCGATGCTCCGTGCAAGTTAACCACTGCCTGCAACAAATAGAGTGCAACGATGCAACAGTGCTTAAACGACCTTTGCCCGGGTGTCAAGCAGATAGTTGACCGTCGTGTACCGGAAGATCCGCTGCGTTTTTCATTGACGGAAACGCGGTAGTGGTTTAAACACTATAATTACAACACTATCCTGAAGTGTCGTAAAGCAGATACAACGTTAATTATCTCATTCCATTGTGGAAGAATGAGGTCTCTGTTAATCCTCTTCTTAACATTATCCTTTTGCTTGATCGTTTCTGCTAAGAAAGTGAAAGTGGTAAGCATAGAATATATGGACGATACAATTAATCGTTTCTCACTCTTTCGTTGCATCTGGCAAAGGATATTAAACGATTAAGAAGAATAAAACCAATGAAATCAATTAACGTGTGCATTACAATCTAGTTGCAGTGTCCCTTAATCAAATTTCATTGACAAACCATCAGCATCTCTTAAAACAAGAATCATCAATCACAATTCGCAGGATCCTCTAGCTAGCCTCTTCATTCGCAGGAAAACGAGTTCGACGTAAGACCATACCCGGAAGACTGCTCGAAGGAGATGCTTTCCCGGAAGAATGTCTGCAGGTCGAGCACATGTACTCATCGGACTCGCGGCGCCATCGGCTGCGACCGGCGTTCGCCGAGGAAGCAGAACCTCCCTTGACCGTGTCCTGTGATCCCCGTGTATCTTGTCCGCCATTATGTAACCCGTCGGGAATAAAATCGCATCGGTAGTGTGACGACTACTCCGTGTTTACCGTTTTCGTAGGCGACGGTGTTTGCAGCCGGCTCTCGTCGGCCGTTTTACCAGCTGCAGTGTTTGATTGTTCCCAACAAGGGCTAATTCGTTCGCCTGGGAGTCAATTGGCAAACAGTTCGGTGTGCGCTCGCTCGATTGCCGCGTTGACAGAGGCATGCATCCACCTCCACCTCTGTCGCCGTCTCTCTCTTTCTTTATTCTTCCGTTCTCCGAGCAGAGCAATCAACGCTCGGTCCTCCTTTTGTTTGCAGCTAGCGTCTCTTCTTTATTGCTATTGTTCTCCTTATTTTTTCTATTTTTCCTTTTCCCTTTCTCTCGATTCCTCCTTCTCTCTTCGCCACTTTCCGTCTTCCTTTCCTTCTTCGCCTCTCAGCAAAGCGATCAACGTTTGTCCTTTTGATTCCAGCTAGAGCCTCTTCTCCTTCGTCGCTACCGTCCTCTAATTCGTTTTCTCCTTTTCTGTTACATACGTCGGAAGATACACTTCTGACGATGAACTTGGCTCGACTCTCGACCCCGGGTCCGATAACCCTTTCATTTCCCAGAACGATTGCGCGTTTTCCTCCTAAGAACGCTGGCTATCTGTTGTTCCCGAGCGAGAACGCGACCGGAATCGGACCGTCTCTGGTTTTATCGGGGAAAAAGGGGATCAGTACGACGCGATGCTTGGTGTATCGTGGAACCATTGAGGATAATGTCGCGGTCCGATCGTCTCGCCGCCCTTCTCGCTCTCCTCTGCGTCTTTGGGCTCGCCCGTGCGGTACGTGTGCCTGCCATCTTCGTTTTTTGAACCCCCACGCTTCGGCCACCGTGATATTAAAGCTTTTTGGTTTATATACTAATAATAATATATGATAATTACGTTGTTTGTAAGTCTTGGTACTCGTTGAGGATCGGACATGAATTGGTAGTGTCAAGTGTTAAAGTGTGAATGAATGAAATTATATTGTAGCAATTTCTGACATCGAGGAATCAATATATTTTCAATTTTGAAGGGTTCACGTGTCGAAACATTCGTTACGAGATCTCTTGTTAGCAAGATAAATGTTTCGGGATATTTACGGTTAATTATTCGAGTTAATTTTTAACACTGAAAGTATTACTACTTTTTTGAAAAATTATTAGCGATGAATTCAATGTAGTTATGAAATCTTTTATGGTTTTTACTTGTTTCGCAATGCCAGCCGAAAAAAATTGTTGAACATGCATTGGTCGTGCCAGCTGTGAACACGTCAGCTGTGATGTTACTAAAAATCGGGCCAGGTGGCCAATGGTTTCGTAAAAGTAAAACGGACGAATAAAAGTCATTAAATATTTGACGATTACTATCTGCGAAGAAAGACGTCGTTAGTATTCATTAACGAGATAAGTGCTGATAAGTTAAAATAACAATGTGGAATCTGAACCGCTTGAACTGGCGCAAACTCGTTACACAGTGTTTTATAAGATCTGCGCATAATTTCAGGGACGGATTACGAAAACATATAGAATTAGATTTAAATGTTTATTGTGTCACATTTGACGTCGGCTTTAAGATATAGTCACTTTACAGTTGTTACTTCAAAATGAATATCATGATGATATTTATTACATCATGTTACAAGATGATAAATAATGATGCTGAATATCATCGAATAATTATAAATTATTACGAAGTTCATTCATGCTGCGACATTAATCGAAAGAAAATATAAAATATCTAAAATATAAAAATTGTTAATTACTATTTGTAATTAATATTTATAACTACACAGATTTACCATCCTAGAGAAGCAACAACAAAACCACCGAAACGAATAGAGCCAGCTCTTGCCTGGTATTTGTCAGAGAAAGATGTCATAGAATCAACCGAGGATCCCTCGCGTTCTCCAAAATGGCAGACGGATCCCGATAACCCTATCCCTAAGAAACCATACACAGTGAACGCTGAGACAAAGACCTGGATTCCTTGGTCGAAGGTTCCTGACACTGAAATTCAACATAAAACAGACATATCAGAAACCGATTGTCCGAAACCGATTAATGTCAATCGAGACGGCGACTATGCCTTGGAATACAGCGACTACGAGCAGCAAGAAAATCGAAAATTCCCATCGGTGCCGGCCGATTCTCGTGATTTGGGACAACGTCGGGACCGCAGTAGTGTTAAGAATAAAGAAGACAAACATAATGTAAAAAGTAATCAAGATTACGAAGAAATACCCGCTGATAACACGGTGAATATATCATCTTAAGTCAGTTATAGCTTACTTGAAAGTTAACTAATATTGGCAGAAGATGTTCTTTACGGCACAAATGTTTTTTAATTATTTTATTGATTGTGTGTACTTAATTGTGGTAAACTTCACTTTCCTTACAGAAACCTCACAAGGAAGAACTTTCTGTTTCATCAAGCCTGAGATCAACGGTAGCTCGATACGATTCGAAACTTGGGGTACAGTGTCCAGACTTCGATTCGACTGGACAATTCGTCTACCCCCCCGACTGCAAATTCTTCGTTAATTGCTGGAAAGGTAGAGCATTCGTTCAACCATGTGCTCCTGGGACACTGTTCAATCCAGACACTTTGGAATGCGATTTTCCGCACAAAGTGAGTTGTTACGGCGGAGAGGTTGCCGAATTTCCTTCCACCGAGTATCTGGATTCGCTGGGAAGGAGAGAGCCTTTGGCGTCTGGGTCACACGCTTTTCTGGAACACGAGAGACTACGGGTTAGTTCGACCAGAATTGTTTCTTTCAAATGTGTTATAATAAAATTCATTATTTAAAAATACATGTTAGCATAGATATTCGCAGTCTACTTATGAATGTTTAATTTCACTGTCAGGAACCACGATGTCCTCCTCAAATAACAGGTATGCTGCCGCATCCATCGGATTGCACGAAGTTCTTACAGTGCGCGAATGGCGGGACGCACATCATGGATTGTGGTCCAGGAACAGTGTTCAACCCTGCCATTAGTGTTTGTGACTGGCCACGTAACGTGAGAGGCTGTGAAGGTATCAAACCACTGGATAAAGATGTTGATAAAATTAGAATTGGCAGTAATGCAAATGGTTTCTTGGAAATGTGATTAATATTGTTGAGCAGATGCCTTAAAGTCCAGCGACACCACGACGCCGTTGGTACCTCCAGATTATGAAACTTTCGAGCACAAGAAATTGCAGTTCAATAGGCATGAACCAGCGAAGAAGATTGTTTGTCCCGCTGATTTTACAGGATTGTTACCTCACCCAGACACTTGTACGAAATTTTTGCAGTGCGCTAATGGAGGTACTTTCATCATGGACTGCGGCCCAGGAACAGCCTTTAATCCTTCCATCAGCGTTTGTGATTGGCCTTACAACGTACCTGGCTGCAGCGAAAGTAATTGGAGAATAATTATAATTATCAAATCGTGAACGTTCCTTTATAATGATTTATATTTGAAAAACATTATAATCTCTGCAGAGAAGACAACTACTGCCAAACCATGGTCATCTGGCTCGGATTCAAGAAACTGGGAGCATACTGTTTACAACCAATACGGCCGAGGACAATCAATGTCACCAAGCAATCCAACAACGAGTCGACCTGCAACAGACTGGGACGCGTTGCGTCCAACATGGCGGCCAAGTTGGATGCCGAATTCTGAAGATACTGCGAAGCCTCCAGAAGCAGACTCAGATACTCCTAGTCACAATTGGAAACCGCATTGGACACCTAACACTAGGACTACTCCTGTGCCACCTCATTGGTCAGGTCAATACGGCCATGGTAGTCAATATGATGGCAATGTACCCTCTTATCCTAGACATCCTGATGAATCAGATCGTTGGGGTCCAAAAGGAAACCCAGGCTCTCCAAGTGTACCATGGCAACAGGGTCCTGGGTCCAGTGGTCACGTACCAAATCACATGTACCATCAGCATCACCATCATGTTCATCATCATTACCCATATGGCTCTACACACAATGGTAGTGGACGTCCAGAGACTCAACAACCTGCTCCTCCTTCTGGTCCTCAACCTCAAGGACCTCGTCAACCTGATGGCAGGTGGCAACCAGAATATCATCATCATGATCATCATCATAGCTGGCCTCATCCTGGTCCTAGTTTACCAGAGTACCATGAGTCTGGTCAACAAACTCAAAGGCCTTTCTTAGATCAGAAAGAAGACTCTTCTAACATTCATGAATCTGAACAACACACTACAGTCACTCTGTTTGATCAGACAGAGGATTCTTCTAATATTCACGAGTCTGATCAGCAGACTCGAAGTGTCATCTTTGAGCAGCCGAATCCTTCTAACACTCATGTTAGATTCGATCATGTAAACCTGCCATCTAATCGAAGATCGTGGCAAGAGTTGACACCCAATAGGCAAGAGCATGGTAGAAATGATCCACGGTTTCCTCAACCGGGATACAATCAACAACCTCTGCCCGGTGAAAATGTTTATGTGGACAATACCTATAAAGTGCCAGAGAATGACGATAGACAGACCAGGAATAAAACAATTTGGACTCATTCAGTATCGACGCCAAGATTTGCCCCTCGTATCTCGAACCAGCAAGGACCTAGACCATCATCACCTGAAGGTCATCCTCAACCAGAGAATAAACGGTGGAATCAAGGTAATTTTTAATTGATTTCCCGCTGGATATTACTGTCGACTTGTATATTAATATACTAATTTATTCATTGCAAACGAATACATCTAATTTTTAATCGGTGCTTCTTGGCTGCTCGATTTTTGCTTTCGATAATCCCACAATTGCATGACGATCTTGTTGCTGTTTCGTGAATTGCATCGTGATCTTGAATAATGTGTACTAATTTACGGTTAAGCTTTTCCCCATGAGTTCATATGAAATGTGTCACCTGAAATTTGAAATGAACTTGATAGTTTATTTCACGTAAAAAAGAATCCACAGGTAAGACTGATTAATTCGTAATTAGACCTCTTTTCATAATACACAAACGCAGACCTTCGTTCTGTGAGCAGCAATTATTGTTTTCACAATTGTCTAACACACAGGTAAATATATTTAATATTTAGTGAGCGAACTGGTAGATTTCATTTACTTCGTCTTCGTATATGTATAGAAAATTAGCTAACAGACGAATGGATCTGAATATTGAAGTATCATTTTTTTTTAGGTCGCACCAGAAATGACATTTTTCAGAATTGGAGGGATCGGAACATCTATGATAGAGTAGCTGATAAGGAAGCGGATTCGAAACTCAACCAGTGGACACCGAAAATAGACATTTATCAGAATACAAACAAAAAATTTCCACCAGGTAGAAGAATACAATATTTCCCTTATTTCTAGTTATTATAATCACTATTCGCTTTCCTCGTGATCGCAGAGATTAAAGACACCTCATTCGATGCTTCGAGAATGAATTATCCGAGCAACGTATACATAGATACAAATGACACAAGGGACCACTTCAGCAGAAAAGATATTCAAATTCACCAGGGACACTCGAAGACGAAAACTTATGGACCGAATGATCGATATAATATAAGCGACCGAAATATTTACATCGATTCGCAATCCACCGATATTCCTACATTACCAGTGGAGCTCCAGCCGCCATATTATAATACTTTCGATCGTCCAAATGCAACTAAAAATACTTCAGCTTCACCTGGTCGACGTACTTCTAAGCATCATCGAATGAATTCCTCATCGGATAGTACTGGAGATTTATCAGGATCTGGTAATCATTCAATATTCACGATTGAGTCACGATTGAGCGACTTTAATCATTAATTATCACAATATCCGTTACATCAGAATTTCAATGGAATATTTCCAGCAGAATTTAAAAAATCAAAAATTGAATCACCGTGGAATAAACGTACATTTAATGGAATATTAAGTTCTAGGTATTATCATGTTTCTAAAATAATAAAAATCTTTTATTAATTCAACAGACACAATCCATCGCCAAATATTCGAGGTCAGGGCAGGCTTTCCGCCACATTACCCACCTCCCAGTCGATCGTTGACATCTCCGGGTTCAACGAATCCATCAAGAGGCGACGTTAACTTAGCACCAGTGCTACCATCAGATTTGCTGCCGCCGTATTACAAACCGTCACGTACCAACTCGAATTACCCAGCTGAGCCAGCGACAGATCTTCAGCCGCCATTTTACGAACCCCCGAGTGTTCCTCAGAATACACCGAATTTCAGCCATCCGCAGGAACCAAATCCTTTCTTGGTACCACCGAGTCCTGACTCATCGAGTAATTCCGATCCATACTCAAATGTGCCAACAGTGAGCATTGAACCACCAAGTTACCAAGCAAACAATGGCTCTACCAACTCCTCTGTCTCTGTGAAGACTACCAAACGCAAACAAAGAGTTCCTGACGTGCATATGGTCCTGCCAAAGAAAAGCGTTCAAAGAACACCGAAGAAAGCTTTGGAGAAAGTTACTACCACTACGGAACCTGCCTTGTCTAGCGTAGAGGTCGAAGCGAATGATTATTTCGCGAATCCAGATTACGATGTGGACGTCTTGGATGAGAGGGAAGTTTGGAAGCCAGTGTTGGTATTCGAAAATAAAACTCGGACGACCACGGAATCGAGCCATATCATGAGAATCAATGAGAAAAAGTCGGACGTGGATCTTTTTAATATCGAAGCTCCTCCAGTTGACGGAGGTAAGTTTGTTGCTTAATTATAAAGAACGATTGCGATTGCTTCGAGATCCAACAGGATGAAGGTAAGTTGATTAGATTTAAGCTCGATCGATCACGCTTTTCGCATGAAGCACTATTGGAATGACATCTTAACGTTGGCGCTTTCATCGTTGTATACGTGTAACAAAATTATATATTCATTCCTTTTATTGATGACTGTTTCATATTACCTTGAATATTACTTCATGGTCCAAAAGCAACTTGAAGAAAGGAAGTCGCACTATTTCTTTGCATTGTTCTGAATGAAGTATTGAGCATTCATTAAAATTATGCACATGTCATTTTTAGTACTTTACTACTTCAATTTTGTTCGTGTAATTCGTCAATCATATTATTCACACTGCATTGATTATTTCTTCCAGAGGAACCACCATTTCCATCGTATTATGTGCCACCGGTGGAACCATTAGACCACGCTCGAAAAGTGTCTCATCCGACTCCAATCTCTGGCCAGGTGAGGATGCTCGATGTGGATGAATCAGAAATTTTATATTATATTCAAACATGTTAAGTATTTCTTTATTTTCCTCGTATCAGGTGATTCGTCTGAGGGGTGGTTCTGGTCCCCACGAAGGTTACGTGGAAGTTCAAGGAAAAATCCCTGGCTGGGGAGTCGTTTGCGATTCCAGAAACAGCTGGACGCTGAAAGAAGCTCATGTTGTGTGCAAGCAACTAGGTTACACAAGGTACATATCCCTATAAAAGATTCCACCCTTATTACACCGTATTAACCCTTCGCTTTATGATTTCTTTCGCAATTGCGCTCGCCAGAGATATTTCATAATTTATTAGAAAAAGAGGAAAATTTTGGTTAAATTTTTATTCTGTCTACATTTACTCAGAAACATTATAATTAATAATAGAAACATAATATTCAATTCGGACTTGAAAGAATTGAGCGATATTTATTTGAAACCTTAACCACGAGTCTATCACGATATTGTAGAGCAAGGGGTTAATTATACTAAACCTAAGTGAGATTACCCAGAGATGACACTTGTCGAATAAAAAATGCTCCACTGTTTACAGAGGTGCCGAAATGGCCTGGCAAGGGAGGAACAATCGCAACGGGATACCCAGTTGGATAGCCGCGGATTCTGTGTCTTGTCAAGGCAACGAGACCAGATTCCAAATGTGCAAGTAAGCTGTGATTCACGTATTTCACTCTGGGTCAGCAGATAAGATTGTAACACGTTGCAGAATTGCATTCCGCGAACCCATGACGAAACATGTTTACAATGCAGCGTATTGTAAAGCTGAACCCTAACGGCTGACACCTTCCATGAAAAATTCTATGAAAAATCTTAGGTCTAAAGAATTGTAGCTTAAAAACCAAGATAAAACCATCGTCAACAAGATTAAGAAAGATTGTTACCTAATGATTCGATATTTAGTAACGGGCAATTACTAACCCTTTGCACTCGAAACTTTTTCTCATTGGTATTACCAGCAATTCCAAGCAATTTTAATAGAAAAAGCATATTAACATATAAATAAACGTATGAAAAGAAAGTCGTAGATATATTTCACTGTTTTTTATCGAATATAGATATAAATGTTATAATATATTTTATAACAAAGTTTCACAGTTTGTAATGATAAACTTTAAATGGCTCGAGTTCAAAGAGCTAATAAATTATCTGTGATCCTTCAGATTCACTCATGGACAACATTGTCGCGTAGAAAGAGACGCGGTAGGCGTGAGCTGCGTTTTGAATCGTGTGGCTCACTGCCGCAGCGATGAGATCCCGTATGAGGGACACTGTTACCACCTGGCAGAACCCGATAGCGGTCTGAACCACGCGGAAGCGTTGGATTATTGTTCACGGAAGCAGGCACGTCTTGTTGACATCACCAGCCAAGCAGAAAACGACTTCATCTCCGAATGGCTGCTGCAGATGCACCCGGAGATCGGCTCCATCATGACTTCCGGTGTTGGCTTCACTACTCTGAATCACACCTTGTGGCTCTGGGAAGACTCTTCGCAAGCCAAGTTCAAGTAGGGAGCTGTTACAGATTGTTTCTGATAATTATTACTGTACTTTAGATCTGTATGCAAATTCAAAGTTTTAAGAACGTAATTACGAAACTAGAATCACGATGGTGAATACTTTTGCTAAAAAATATTAACAGCACTGCATGTGCTGTTAATTTATATATATTTATTTATATTTACTTTAATTTTATATTTAATTTTATATATATTTCTTCGTAATTCGTAGATTTTGTGTAACTTTGCACTTTCGAATTTTCCATCAAATTTCCCATGCATACGAATTTGAAGTCTAATTATTATAGTCGTGGACACTAATTGTAGTGGTTCTTTTAATGATTCTTCGTTAGGTTCTCAAAATGGTGGCCAGGTTGGCTGGAAGACAAGCAGGTGCCCCCACACGTGGGCTCGCGTCCTCTTTGCATCGTGATGAAACGCAAACTTCCGTGTCACGAGAGACCTGACACGATTTGTGTCGCTGACTATTTCTTCTGGGACACTGAAGATTGTACTACCTCTGCGAAGGGACATTCTTATATTTGCAAAAGACCCTACGATGATATTGGTATGATGTTTTCAATTTAATCTTAACTCGTGGCTAATATATATTTATTTCATATTCTTATTTCACATTGAGTAAGACTTCAGGAATAGGTTCTATTATATAACTTCAGTAGTATATTTGTTTAATTTTTATTAACAGGTTGCGTTTATGGGAAAGGAGCTCAATACATGGGAAATGCAAACGTGACAGCATCTGGGAAGCGTTGTCTTCCGTGGGCTGACGAAAAAGTAGCCCATTCATTAAGAATACTGGTTAGTTTTATTTTCTTTTACTTTCTTCTTCTTTAGTGACGAATTATTGTTATATGAATTATTTATTCATTCATTTCTCCTGTAGGCTCTTAGTCGAGACACCAAGGAGAAATTGAAAACTCATAATTACTGCAGAAATCTACAACCTCTTAAAGAATCGAGACCATGGTGCTTCACTGAGCCAAATGGACAACGAGAACACTGTGACATTCCACCTTGCGGAAATATTGGTACCATCTACGACCTTCCCGAACAAGCGTCGAACAAATGAGATTCTGATTCCATTCAATTTTTATTTCAATCTGCTCTAGGATCTCAAAGGTCAAGTTTGGGAGGCCTCTGCATGCCCAAACATTTTGAGTGTTCACCGGGAGAGTGCATCCCTTCACAGTGGGTTTGCGATGGAGAAGAGGTAAAATCGAAATTATATTCACACTTCACTTTCAAGCCATTTATGCTTATTAAATGTCGCTCTCATAAATTTCTGATACAATACTTGATTACATAAAATATTCACTGCTTTTTAAGGACTGCAGAAACGGCGCAGACGAAAGCGATTGCTCGTCACAGATGGACCTTTACCAAAAATACGCGAAACATAAGTTAGAAGGGCACGATGTCGAAAAATGGTTGAATACCCCATTAAAAACTTGCGCCGTCAGATGCAAGGATGCTGACTTCACGTGTCGATCGTTTTCGCACAAGTAATAAGACTATTAACGATTCCTTCACAAAACTGATCACGTAAATTAATTTTTCTGTTGGCTTTTAATATTCTCAGGGCAGCAGGGAACATTTGTCTATTAAGCCATAGCAACGTCGGCATGACAGGATCCTTGAAACCGAATCGGGAATTCGATTATTATGAAATGAAAGAAAGAAGCTTAAATTGCGACGGCATGTTCGTTTGCGACAACAAGAAGTGCATAAACCAGACCAAAGTGTGCAACGGGAAAAACGACTGCCACGATCGTAGCGACGAAAGTATCTGCACCCTGGAAAATCTGGACTATGCCATTCGACTTGCTGGCTCGAATAACAGTTACGAAGGGAGAATTGAAGTTAAGGGTACGTTTCAACGTTCAGTGTATTTAGTTCAGGAAGCAACAAGATAAATATTCTCTACTAACAAATTTCCTTCAAAATACACATCAACAGAATGTCCCAAGGAAACTATTTAACAAATAGATCTTCAGAATTTCTGTTTAAACCATGATCTCTACAGTTTTGGGAGTCTGGGGTCAAGTTTGCGACGATGGTTTCGGTATGATCGACGCCGATGTAGTTTGCAAAGAGCTTGGCTTCACTCTTGGCGCTCTGGAAATCCGACCAGGAGGATTCTATGGGAATCTGGACCCACCCACGAGATTCATCGTGGATCAGCTTCAATGTCGAGGGAACGAGACATCATTGCGCGAATGTGATTTCGATGGGTACTTGGCACGAAATATTTAAAATCTTAAGTGAACCTAAAACCTTGAATCTGAGAATATCCCTGATGCTTTGCAATGGTTATACATAAAGAAGATATTACTAACATAATAATGTTACAGAGATAATCAGAGTTTCCATGCTTTCCTTCACAGATGGGGTGTTCACAATTGCCAGCCAGAAGAAGCAGTAGGCGTTGTTTGCAAGACAGCAGTGGATACTTGTCAAGATGGACATTGGAAGTGTGAGAAAAGTCCCACATGCATTCCGACTGCGTTCATATGCGACGAGGTAGTCGACTGTCCGGACGGTTCTGACGAAAGTTCCCAGCATTGCGACGTGGGTAACCAAATAATTTCCGGAGATATACATTGGATTGTATAATGTATTTCTCGAATGGAATTGATTTCTGATTTAAAGGGAATAAAAGATTTGCAACGTTGGGTGATCATTTTAGGCACCTTTCGAGATACGACTAGCGAATGGAAGCTCTCCTTTAGAAGGAAGGGTTGAAGTTCGTCACCATGGTGTATGGGGCACCGTCTGTGACGACGATTTCTCTACTGCAGCTGCTACTGTGATTTGCAGGTCCTTGGGATACACAGGGAAAGCTTTTGCCAAGAAGGATGGATACTTTGGGCCTGGAGAAGGACCCATTTGGCTGGACGAAGTAAGTTTGGAAAAGAAAGAACTTCGAAACTCTCAGTTCCTTTGTAATTAGAACTTTATTAAATTGTAGATTTTTATGAATTCATAACGTATAAAGATTTACAGAACAAAACAAGGTGGAAGAAACTTTGATAGTTTCATTTTCTTCCTCCTGGGATTATTAATAGTGTAACCAATGAGACAGTTATAGGATCATGTCCTTATCTGCGTCTAATTATATGGTTAACTCGATGTTTACTTAAATAAGGTTTCTTGCCGCGGAAACGAGACTCAGCTGTATCGATGCGAGCACAATCACTGGGGCCAAAATAATTGCAACCATGACGAGGACGCAGGTGTGATTTGTACACGTGGGGATGTTAACGATTCCGAGGTAAATCGAAACGTTCTCAGGAAGAGGGGAGTGTAATTTAGAAACTTGAATCTCTTCTGAACAATCAAAATTCCTTGATATTCGTTAATACTCGAAAAATGGCTGTGCTACAGGCAAATAAAGAATTAGGTGATTAATTCTGTTTCTTTCGAAGTGCAATAAGATTTCCAGAAGAGAATATTTTTAAAAATAGTTATAAATGTTCTTATTTTAACAGTTAAAGGGATGCAATTTCTTTGCCAAAGATAGGGTATGGTTAGAATTTAATTTATCGTCTAACAAGATCCTCTATATTGTAAGAAACGTTTAGCATAAATTACTAGGGATACTTAACTTAAAACGCAACGGTTACGTGAATTATTTAACATCCTGATCTTGGTGTGTTGTAATGATAAACTACAGACGGAGATTTGTAAACAACAGTTAGAAGCGTTACTTCAATAAACGATCAGCTTACGCAACGAAACCTGTTTACTTCATTCCTTGACCCTGGTTACCCCCATTTGTCGGCTTCACGCGTGCGAATTGCATAATAGAGTCAATAATTGTAGCTTGACTGGGACCTGCTGCCGGATGTGATGGCCAAGGACATCAATGACATACTTCCGACTAATTGCGGCCAGCGATTGGAAGACTTCAACTCCGAGGAGGATCTCATATTCGCGAAAGTGGTGCACGGTTCCATCGCGCCGAAAGGAAGTTACCCTTGGCAGGTAAATTAATTAATTGAAACGATTAATTATCAAAATATTAATTTAAATTACTTCATTACTCATTTACTATACCAGGGAAATTACTGACATTTACACTGTTATTTTTGTTCTCTATTTTATTCTTTAAATATCTACATTTTAATGGATTTAATTTAAACCATTTTCGATTAACACCTTGCATTAATATTATGTTCTCTATATTCGAAGAAACCTCAAGGATTTCTGGGCTATAATTTTTAAAGATCGTGTGTCACAAACATTTCTATGATTAACATTTGTGCTATACGTTTGAAATACTTTTTACCATTTTTGGTTTGAGGCCTTTTATGGATTACTCTTTGCAGTGTTTTTAATATTAACAGGCCAGCATTCGCGTTCGAGGACACAGCAGGTCGAACCATTGGTGTGGGGCGGTGGTTCTTTCACCTCTGCACGTGCTCACCGCTGCTCATTGTCTGGAAGGGTACAATAAAGGGACTTACTTTGTTCGTGCTGGTGATTATAATACAGAGGTAATTAAAGTCTGCTCTGAATTATTATCTGCTTCTCCATTATAGACTCTAAAATAGGTTCTAAAATAGTAACCTTTACCTTTCTCTTTCTTTAAAATGTCACATTTGTATACTGAACATCGGTTTCCATGAAATTAACTGTGGATCGAAGTTTAAAGCGAGTTTCACATGCAATATAAACGCACGAACATGTTAGATAGATGAAGGAACAGAAGCAGAAGCCAATATCGAGAACTACTATATACACGAGGATTTCCGCAAGGGCCATCGAATGAACAACGATATTGCTTTAGTATTGCTGAAGGGACGAGGAATAGCTCTTGGCAAGGATATCATGCCGATATGCCTACCACCGGAGAACATAGAATATCCGGCTGGTCTTAATTGCACTATCAGTGGATTCGGCAGCATCGACACTGGGAAATCTGGTAAAAGATCTGTTTCGATCGAATTAATATATTATCAGATATTAACCATTTGCACTCGAGAGGTGATTCTCAGTCAGCACTAGATTTGACACAGTAGAACTGTAAAATTTGATATTTAACATTAAACTGTGTAATGCATCAGCCTGTAAAATATTGGGATGAAAAAGCTTTGTTTCTCAATTTACTTGTGCTTTCTTTGAGTTACTTCAAAAAATATTGTCTTCGTCTAGTCAGAAAATATTAAGTATTTATGACGAAATACGTTCGAGTAGAGGGTTAAAAATTGGATCTTGTGAAACATATGGATTAATGTTGTGAAGTTATATAATTTTAATTTTTATTATATTCATACATATATTTGACATTTGAGAATTGTTCGTTTCAGCTCATTCTAAAGACTTGAGGTACGGTTGGGTACCATTATTGGACCAATCCGTATGTAGAGCAGAACACGTTTATGGTCCGGGTGCCATTAGAGATGGCATGGTTTGCGCTGGATTCCTTGACGAGGGTGCAGACACCTGTGATGGTGACTCCGGTGGACCATTAGTTTGTCATCATAACGGTAACGAAATATTTGTGATTTAAAAGAAAACAAACAGATGAAAAGCTTTTACGTTAGATAAATCTTCAATTTTAGGTAAAATTTATTTCAAATTTACATGGAAGTTATGAAAGTAACTGTACTTCGTGCATGTTATTATAAATTTCGTTTTGATAGCATTCTTATTCGCGATGTAGTTACTTCGATACGAGATTCTTGTTTCTTTTTCATATAGGAGGTTTCACATTGTACGGGATTACCAGCTGGGGACAACATTGTGGGAAAGTGAACAAGCCCGGTGTTTACGTTCGTGTTTCCCATTACCGTCGTTGGATCGATCAGAAGATTAAAGAATCCCTCTCAGGAAGGTAGAATTAATTGTTTAAACTCTGACAGTTCCGAACCATTTCCATTTAAATAATCTCAAATAGATCTAGTAGTTAATTATTCACTTATAGATTGTTGATATCGCCAATTACATATAAATTATAATAGTTCAATTACTTTCTGCCAAATAGGTTCAACGATCAATATTGCATATTTATTAGTATCTAAGGTTAGAACATTTACATGTAACATTGTATTTTAATACTGCTAATAATTGAACAGAGAATATTTAAATTGAATTTAAGAAAAACACATGTCGCCAGAAAATAAAATTGTGGTAAATATTAATTCGTTGCATTGTTTGTATTAACAAGTGATATTCTGAGTTGGATTTAGAGTTATTGGGGGGAAATTTAGTGTTATGGAATATGGCACTTGAAGAAGGAAAACATCTTGAAGAAACGTCCATTAATCTGTAGTTTATTTCGTAAGACATCATCGTTTCTACAATAATTGTAATTGCTGTCTTGTCGCTGTTACATGATTGAGCCTATGTATGTACAATAGTCCCAACATATTTGATCGGATCGATCAAAAACGCGGAAACGGAATTACCTCGACGTTCATATAATAAACGCACGAACAACAAAACGAATAGAACAGTTGGTAGTGGTTTCGTAGACTTACATTATTACGAGACTGCAAAAATCGAATGACAATATGAAATCGTTGTACGTAATCGGCCCGGGCTGAACGATCGACAGACAGATTGTCCGTAAACAATTTTCTTTATTGACTTTATTGCAACGATGGCAGTACTATTTTCATAAATAAATCCCTCCTTTTATCGAACTTATCGAACTTGTCCTCCGTCACGGTTGTCTTCCTAAAATAAAACCGATTGCATTGTAACTTGCAGTTACAAAAATGTATTCGATAAAGATATAATATTGTAACGTTAAAAAAGTATTCTATAAATTCTATAAAAGGTAATCAATCAATAAGTTGTATAATATCAATCACATAAAGTTGAATTCAATTGTCCGATTTTCATCAATATTCACTATACCGTTTTGCTCCTTGAAAATATTAATTTTTAAAAAAGACGTTCAAGAAATATACTTATCATTCAAAGTAAAATATCACGAGGATTCATGAAACTTCTGCTGTACTTCGTAGTCTCGAAAATACATATTTCGCGAACGCTTAAGAAAACGTTTGGGTTCAACGTAGGATCAATTCATAAAAATCCCGTAAAAAGTCTTGCCAGAAAAGAAATTCTCCCTTGTGTCTCGGCACCGTCCCCGACCATTTTCACAACAATTGCATAAAATCGGTTCTATGTACACTGATAAATACCTCTCCGCTTCCCGAACGTTCCAACTATAAATCCGTTAATAATAAAAAGGACAATCAAGCTGTTGACCGTTCAACGAATTCCGTTGATCTCGTTTCCGCGGTGTTGAGAGTGACGAATCTAAAAAAGAAAACTTGATCGCAGACACGCCGGTGAATTCGATGGATGAAAATCCGCAACGATCGGCACTGTGCACGTTACACTTCTTTCATTATTTTAACTCCCGGTTCGCAGTCGATCATTAATATCGTGATTGCGCGCGAAACGAACGGAAAATGACGAAGGGAGAACGAAACGAGAGAAAAGAACGAACAACGAAACAACGATCGTCGCGGAGAAATGCTTCTGACCGTAATAAATACGGCGAATATAAATAGACAATACACGCAAAAGAGAAACCGGGGGAATGAAAATCTGACGTTCTACGCAAACCTTCCTTTTTCACCGTGCAATTCATAAGTGTCTTACAATTAAGGGAATGTCGACCAAAAAGAAAAGAAATAAAAGAAAGATACGCTTAATATAAAAACTTAACGTTAAACTCTAACCCGAATACATCTTAATTTAGGCATAACGCGGCCCGTGTCCTTGCTCGTTGAAGAAACGTTTATCTTCGATTGGCGAAACTTAATCTTATTCGATCCGTTTCTAAGTCTGTTATATTTGGTAGCTTAAAGCTTTCACTAAATGCTAACGGAGAATGGTTAGTTCGGATTCCGTCCGCTTCAAAAAGACAGTCAACAGCGATAAATAGAGAATATCGAGTTACTCTGGTTTAACGTTAGTGAGATTGATACTTTCATCGAGAGAGTCGAGTTTGATTATATCGAGAGCGATTAACAATGCAATATATACCTCTGCAAATATCAAGCATGAACAAGTCTCTGCTCCCAACGTACGTTTCGGAAGACGCATTCATCTCTCCAATCGAAACGGTCGAGTACAAAAACGCAAGCTCCAACTATTTCAATGTCGAAAACAACTCAAACACTCTTCCTTGAAAACGTAAACGCCCTATCGACAAACACTTTACGCTTAACATCTCTACAATAAGAAACCGTATCAAATTAGCTCCCTTAATTCGATCAGCAGAAATTCGCAAGTAACTCTCCCTCTCTTCCGTACAACCGTCGTTCGTCATTTCCTATCGGAAAAGATCACTCGCGAATCCCCGTTGAAGGTTCTGAACACAGACGAGTTCGACGTTAAATAAAATATGGCGTAATTTCGAAGGCCGGCAGCGGTGCACTCGGCCGGCAAACGGGAACGCGGACACGGGCCCCCGACTAACGATCTAATGACTAGACAGCAAGCAAGTGTTCGTATTCTCTTCCAATCAATCAATCGTTCGAGGATGAAGGTTCGTGTGTACTATAAGGTATCGTTAGGCGATCATAACATCGATCGATCGGCGATTATCGCGGCCGACGAGCCACCGACGCCTCGAATCAGGGCCAAAGGTGTTCCTAACCTCTCGCCCTCTTTCGTCGCAACGGTGGCTCCGCTTAAATTCGATTACGGCCTATCCAACCTTAGACCTTACATAGCGCATAGATATACGCACATGCGTATGTGCCATATAACTATATGTATATATACACGACATTTCGCTTCTTCGTTTCTCCTCCTACTTTCCCCTCTTTCTTCTTATGTACAGGAATCGCGGTAATCAAGGTGTCCGTTACGTTTCATCCGAC